TTTAACTTATTTAGTAGAAGGTCAGTCGATACGCGATCGAACGCTTTTGACAGATCAAAGCTTAACCCTATGCAATGCTCTTTTTCAGAACTTGCCTTATTTAAACTGCTAAAAAGAAAGTGAGTAACTCTTAGTAAAGCATCTAACGTTGAAGAAGACGGTCTAAACCCAGACTGGATAGCACTTAACAACCTATTGTCGAGAAGAAAAGATAACAGCTGCTTATGAATAATCTTCTCAAGAATCTTACTTACAACGCATAGAAGTGAAATTGGGTGATAATTTTCGATAAACGATGAGTCTCCTTTTTTATATACTGGTGTTATACTGGCTACTTTCCACTGAACTGGAAAAATTCCTGTTAAGATTGAAAGCCTAAATATATGTACTAATTGATTTCCGAGAACTGGTAGGCATAACTGTATAAACCTCAGTGAGAAACCATCCACTCCAACACTGGCGGTGTTTTTCATAGCCCCTACAGCTTTCACCACCTCGGTTAGGTCAATGAGTATATCAGAAATTAATGGACCCGCTAAGTTGGGTGCCGTTCCAGCGATAGGGAGAGTATTTTGAACTGACGAGTAGCAAGAATTAAAATGGTTACTAAACATTTCACAAGTCTCCTTTAAGGATGAAGAGGTATGACTAGTTTTGTCCGTAACAAATTGAGGAATGGATAATTTTCCATTACGAAACTTATTGGCAGACTGCCAAAAGCGTGTTGGATCTTTGAAAAGAGAAACAATATTCTTAAAATGATTTTTCTTATCTTTCTTAACTGACTTAACCACCTCACTTCTTAAAATTTTAAAAAGAGTGTAATTTGCAGCTATTTTGACAGACTTCCAGCTATCAAAAGCCCTATTTCTTTTGCGCATTTTTAGCCGAGTATCTTTGGAAAGTGTTATGTTGGCTTTTCGGAATACATTTACGCGCTTAAGTGGGACGTATTTCTCGATACAGGCATCGACATGTGTCTGCCAAATTCTTACACTATCAGAAGGATCGGTAGCATTGTAAAAAGATGGAGAAATAGCTTCTAACATCGAGTAGAGTAGTGCTAAATCACATGAAACAAAGTCTCGAATATATTTGTGTTTGGTTTGTGGGCGTGTGATAGAAATGTCAAATGAAAAAAATAACGTAAAATGCATTGATTTCCCGATAGGAACCTGATCGAAAACTTTTGGAGCTTTCAAAACAAAAGGATAGAGTAGATAATCTAATCAAGAATTCTTTGTTGTAGTAACGATCGTGCGAGTACAAGCTAGCGAAAAAACCGCTTCAAGATCACATAGAGCTTGGTACATTGGTATGTCAGAAGGATCAGCATTGAAATCGCCTGCGATAAAAAGAATCTCATAGAGAGAAGGTAGAGAGGAATGGAGAAAGGACTCTAGCTGAGTGAAATATCCATCTCTAGATTCTTTAGGTGGATAAGAATTACAAATCATAAAGATACGGTCGTTTACTATAACCTTCACTAGTATCAGTTCTGTGTTAGCATCAGTCGCGATCAAGGAGCACTGAAAAAGATCTGGAATGTAGATGAGGACTCCTCCTCCGTGCCGATTACGATCACGTCTGAAAATAGAGTACCCGGGTAGGCATCATTCTAGATCTGATATCTCTGGTGATAAACAAGTCTCTTGTAGACATATTATATGAGATTTAGCAGATAGGATAGTTTGTTGAAGTAGTGTTAAGTTGGCAAGAATACTTTGAATGTTATGATTCAAAATAGTAAAAGAGGAAGAACTAGATAAAGTAGTTTTAGATTGCCAAACAGACAGCGCGTATGAAGCTATCAACATTTTCGTAACTCCGACATGGCATCAAACACGTTTCCATCAACAACTGGACTGACAGACTGTTGGTCGATGGACGACGATACAAAAAGACGAAGCAACGACAATAATAAATTTATGAAAAAGAACGTACTTCTTTCTTTAACGTTTATACTTTTTTACCTCTGTTTCACCATCTGTCTTCGTTCTTCTATTAGTTTTTGTAGAAGATAAATAAATTTTTACCTTTTTGAATCATCATCCATAGACAGCAAAATTTAATAATAATTCTATATATTTATTTGCATTATGATAAAAACGGGAATTTCGCAGTATAAATACTTATGCTTCGGTCAGTTGCAATAAAATTTATTCATTTATTCTGTTTATCAATATCTTCACAACTCCGACATGGCATCAAACACGTTTCCATCAACAACACAACTGACAGACTGTTGGTTTTTCTATAAGGGTAGCTGTAAAAATGAGCCTACAAATAATAATGCTAAAAAATGTAATTTTCGACATTGTGAGATTGCAAAACAAACAGAAAACAAATGTTTACAATGGCCAAATGAATGCAAAAATGTCAATTGCCACTACCGTCATCCAGCAGAAAAGAAACAGAATATTGTTAAACAACCACAACCAGGCGGACTGATCACTTTGTTTTGGGACATCGAAAACTGTCCAGTACCAAAAGATTGCGATCCATTTGAGGTAATACAACGTATACGAGATCTGTTGGTTCATAAATCTGAACTCAGGGAAGACGCTTTCCACTGCTATTACGATACGAGAATGGTATCTGACTTTATGCGACAGCGTTTAATGCTTGCAAATATTGATACGATGGATGTAGCACACTGCAATAAAGCCGGTGCAGCAGACCTTAAAATTCTGTCGGATCTCGGTCGATATCAACTAACACATAAGCGAGGAGACACCGTTGTGCTTATCTCGGGTGATATTGATTTCGTCCGTGTATTAAGTGATCTACGTAAAGGAGGATTTTATGTGATCCTTATTTACAACGCACTAGCACGAAAAGAACTCAGAGCAACTGCCAATGCAGATTACCCCTGGTCACAATTTACACAAATGGGTAACGTTCCACGTCGTCAATCAAATTCAGTATCAAACACAAATCAGGGGGTACCACGTCCATTAATGAATGGGATTCGTCAGCCACCGAGAGATCAATCCAATTTCGACAATGGACAGAACGCAGTGTCCAACAAATTGAATGCAACTGATGGAGAAAATCAACGAGATTCGTCTCACAGTACTCCGCCAGCGTCGGCTCGTTCTAGTCCACAGCTCCAACGTCCGAATCTACATGCTGACTGGTTACTTAAGCGTACTTATATTTGCCCAGTATGTTCCTCCAGATGTTCGACTGATGAACAAATTAGACAACATCAAACAAACAAACAGAGGTCACCTGTTCAGTTGTCCGTTATGTTCCGATCGATTTTATACAACTGCTGAACTGCTAGAACATCAAGCTGCTACAAATCATACGAGTAATGATGTTTCTGCAAATCATTTGTTCGAAAGTCCAGATCCGGTAGTCCTACAACTACAACAACGCACAAAACCACCTCCTGACTTGTTACCTGGTCGAAATCATATTTGTCCAAAATGTTCATGCAAATTTCCGACCAATGAAGAACTTAGACGACATCAAAAAAACAGGGATCATCTCTTCAGTTGTCCACTATGTTCAGATCGCTTTCCCACAACCGTTGCATTACAGCAACATCAAAATGCTAAACAACATAAGAGTGATGATGTTTCTGCCAATCAATCTTTACATAGTGTAGACGATTTAGTTCAAGAACAATCACGACCTCCTTCACCTCTTCACACTAATCCACCAGCTTCAGACGCCGATAATCCTAACTCGGCTGACCAACAGACAGCCAAACTCAAGATTCAAGATTTGATTAAACTTTTTAATAAATATTAGTAGAATTATCTAGACAGTCCGAGTGGAAGACAATAGTCTCTTGTATGTTGCTTAGTTATTTCTTGAATGCATCTTCCAACCTAAGAAAGGAAATACTTTAGCAGATTTTTGCGCTGTCTATGAAAAAAAACTTTTTTCCTCGATCTCGAGTAGAGTTCAAAACCAGTGAAAAATCAAAAAATAGCATATATTCTTTAAAGACAATATGTTTCTTTTCGTTTATATTTGTATAAACACTTCTCTTGAAACCCCCTCCTCCTAAAAAACAAAACAAATGTGTTCAAAAAGAGCATATAAATTTATATAAAAGTTCCACAAAAATATATTGATAATAAATTTTATATTATTAATATATTTTTTCTCAAAGAATTGTTTTTCGTACGTAGCTCCAAAACATCCGGCAGTATCTGTTTGATTCCACAGATTTATACTTTTAATGCTTCAAATAACATGATCAATAAACGCTTATCTGACTTCTATGAAACGAATAAGGAAAACATTTGTTCCCTCTCCCCAAAATAAAATAAAAAAAACAAAATTCTGTTCGCCTGAGTTTCTCAGAAAAACAGTCGTAGCTGCTACCTCAGACACACAGATTTTTTTCTGTTTACGTTTCGGAAGTATCTAAAATCGACTTTTATTTTATAATCATATTGCTTTACCATTATAATAATCTAGAAGTTTTGCTTTTTTGTTAATTTTTTTTGTGCCCAACAAATTTTAAATAAGCCTTTATTAATAAAATCCTTATTCTGCTATAAAAATTGCCGGTGCAAAGTGATCTTTTTGTTACACTAAAGTATATTAAGTTGACGAGAGTCTATGGTTTGATCTTAATGGAGACTTAGGCTCACCTCTTCTCCACTGAAACATTTCTTCAGGCGAAGACATTCTCGAGAGGCTGTCTCATTTTCACAATTTAACACGTTTTCATTGATTATCTAATAAACACTATTGGTTTTGGAAGCAATCGACGGGACTTTTTCTTTCTATACCTAAACTTTGAAATATTACAATGTAACATTGAAAGAAATTTATTTTGTATCTTGATAGATTAACAAAAAAGCAT